TCCATCAACCACCATCCGAGAGAATCCGTGTATTTGTTTCCGAACCTGATAGCGTCCTAAAATTCCAAGAAAAACATAGAAGATCTAAGAGAGAGAACACTCGTGAGTACGCCTTAGTTTCTTGGACAAGCACCGACCTCTGAACCACCCATCCGAAAGGAAATGGCTCACAAATGAAGTAGAATCTCCGGTGGACGACGCAACCTCTAGGCTTTTGAGCCAGTTAGCAGAGATCGCATAAAGGTCCCCTGAAATCATGTCGGTACAGCAGGAGATAGTGAACGTGAATATAGTCAAGTGTGGAGATATAATGAAACCGGTGTCCTTAAAGCTCGGCCTGGAAATGACCAAGATAACTCTCAACTAGCGTCGCGTGATAGTACATGAGCAACAGAAGGCTGCGGTGTGAACAATTCATCAGTTATCAGTTGGTCCGCCGATAGATTACCCACTTGACTAGTGCTTTCCCACCAATTGATAACTCGACTATGGTGCTTTATTTAGTTGGTTCAGGTGTCGCAAGGAATTCTGTATCATGGTTTTCCCGACGTGACAGAGTTTCAACCTAGTGAGTAAGCCTGACTCATATTCCCTACTTTGCTATTTTCTTAGAGAACGCATGGTAAGGGGGCTCTAACTTGGTCACAGGTGAGTTGGCTATTGGCTGATGAAGATGTAGAGTAAGCTCCGATTAAGACGAATTGTGATGACACTGCTCGTACCAACCACTCCTAGCATTGGTAGTCAAATCCGGTATCGAAGGATGGTTGAAGGGTCATGATTTTGAAAATTGAAAGGAAATCCATTTCATGATATATCAGAATGGATGATATTCCGGTATGGCCTGGGAGCTGAAAGTCATCATCAGAAGGCGCTAATTGTGGCACATTCAAAGACAGAGATTTATCCCGGGGAGACTCGGAGTCGGAGGTACTGGTAAATGGTACGGTTGCCGGTAAGCGTGACTGAGGGAGTCAGTCAAAGTTGTGTTTGCGCCCACCTCCATAATCCGAGAAAACATACTGTTGGGAGCTTAGCGCATTTACATAATATTTAATGTCCAACTTGAAGATGATCATGATGTCCTTGTCCTTGAAAATCACGCTGAGTTAAGTGTGATTTGTAACATGTGACATGCGACAGTGATAATATTAAATTAATAATTTCTGTCTCCATCCTGACGGTCCACTCAACTTGCATCGTCTATCCATAGGCCTACTCTGCATGCCTACATGGACAATCTTCTCTCAGAATGAGAAACAATATACCCATCCAATGCAGATGAATGTATTTCGGGTCATGAAAACTGCCTACCACATGTTGTACCCATCAGAGGAGCCCTCCACAATCGACGATATATCATCACAACCCTTGACAATCAAATATGCATTCTCAGAAGAAAACACAGGACCCCCAGGCCTATCGAGCCTTGTCATATGTGTAAATCGCTTTTCTGTCATATTTTGTGACATGCAGATCCAAGATAATTGGCGTAATGTTTGCATTCCCATCCCTAGTGAGCTCACGCCGGTCATCATGGACATATATGAGTTTGCTCTGGCGAGGTCCGATGTATGCTCTCGCCAGTGGGACACAATGACGGAGAGTTACTTTGCACGCAGGATATGGAAACAGCTGCAAGTGGAGGTAAGTATTGATTTGTGTTCTTACGTTATTATGACGAATTGACTGCGGTAGAGATATCACCAGCGTGTTTCACAGCAACAGCCTCCTGGTGGCACAGACTAGATTACCACCAGCCTTCTGGAAGTGCTCTATATGTGCCTCCGATCTTATCCGCTGCAAACAGCTGTCAGGTTGCATCGTGCGAGGTCGCGTGATTGCCGTGGATCTTCCGAACCCCCACTCGCACGGTGGCATCACTATACAGAGGAAGTGCTATGTCTCCCATGCTCGGCATCAGGATTCTAAGCGGATGGAACAGGTGTCTAGGGTGCAACTCCTGGTGCTGCGCGAAGAGCAATCAGCTATCATGTACTAGGGTCGTCCTGTTGGCATTCGAGTCCCAATCTTTCTTACGGGGACAACCAGCCCACACTCCCGTCCTGTCTATGGTCGCCCTACGCCATCATGGACCCGCGTTCCACCCTCCCAAAGCCTAAGTCTTGTTTAGAATGCGAACTACCCGGCGGCGGGCCTGCTCCAACCGTACATGTTGGTCCTGTTCAGATCTGGCCCGGAATGCGCGAGCTGTGGCGTGACGTGTTTGTGCAAAAGAGTGTGGCTTGCGATCTCTGTGCTGAATGGGGGAGGCATCATCATCCGATGCCCGCGCTGCGACCGGCCATTTTGCATCACTTGCTACTACATTGACCAGTGCAAGACGTGTCGCCGCGTGAGCCTGTGCTATGATTGCGCCGAAGAAGCGCCAGATGTAGACGAGGTAGTGCCTGCTGAAGTCGCCTCGTCATGTGCCGGCTGTGTGGGAGGTGTGCGAAGGCGTAGGATTTATTCATGGGAATGGAGGTAAAATAACTCAGACTCAGACCGAGGGGTCCAGGCTCGTAAACTGAGTCGGAAGCCAGGAAGGAGACCCGCCAAACACTTGTGAATAGGAGCACTGATATTTCTTTAGGGTTCCGACTGTATGCTGCCCATAGTCACGTAGTGATGTAAGTTTGTGACGTATACTACAAATAAAACAGCGCTAGCAGTGTCCTCAGTTCCCTTCCCATCGCGTGGAAGTTCAACACAGAACGAGTCCGAGAAAAACAGTGTACCATGACACGGTCCTCGTACTGTTTTTGGCATGAGCATAGAGCAGGAGCATCACTATCAAATTTGACACCAACCACCCGGAACGGCACACACAATACAATAACGGGCCTTGCACCATCCATTCACTTCGCTTTCAAGTAAGGTGACTTGAAAATTTTCAATGGCTATCGTGTGCACATACACTTTCAATCTACAGGTTCAAGCTACGGCGATTCTGCCCTCATCATATGCATATGGCCTACTTGGACAATAATGAATAAAATCAAGAACTGATTCAAGATACTTACGATGTGACTGGAAAAATAGCTTGGAACAATTTTCCCGCTTGCACGGTGTTTATCTAGACCGTCGAGCGTTGTTGAGAAACAAATTGAAAGTAGAAAGCAGAAGGAGGGAGCTATAGGTGTGTTTTCGATTTTGACGTTCACAATCATCAGTAAGGGTCGCCGCGCGAGAAAGACCATGATCAGGCGCTGAAAATTCTACCACGTGTTGGGCCTATTCAAGAGCTCTCCGGCCGAGCAAAGAGAACTTGAATAGGTACAGCTTCGTAGTGGCCAATGGAAAGTACGTATCTATGTACCCCGCCTGCATCAACTGCAAGGGCGCAATTTCCTGCCTATCTGACAGAACCAGGACTCCACGCTATATTGAGTTTGCTCCCTGTTGCGACTAGTCGCCCAGTCCAAGCTCTGCGATTGATCCTCCACAGATTCAATCACTCATCAATCGAAGAAGCTTCCTGGCAAACGGCCTACCCACCACTGCGCCTCCCTGCCCACGAACTTGGGAAGTTCATCAACCCGTTTCTGGGTGGGACGCTGATGATAATTATCAGGTCGGTCGTCGGAGATGTACAACACGTTAACGAATCCTTCGCTCATGCATTTCGCTGGAACTATCTGTCTGGGAGGTAGAATTGCCGAACCCGTACCCATCGAAGAAATTCTGAAGTATCTTTTGAAGCTGTATAGGGGGTCCACGTGGACGTTGCTGCTGTTCGATTCCGGGCTTGATTAGGGAAATTTAAATAGTCAGCTGTTCGGCTTGCGTGGTTGACAGTGGGCTTGAAGGAAAGAAAATCCAAAATCCGGAACAGTTGATACACATATTTCCAATAAGTCACATGTAATCCAGCACGAGTGAATACCGGCCTCGACAGAATCCAACGGAACAAGTGGTTCACGTGTCCCTACCAGCTACGGATGGTGTCCGTTTATTCCTCGGCGGTATATCATCAGGCGCATCACCACGAACATCGAACTTCCGACGAGGGAGATGAGCTAAATGCAAATGTTAGCACAAGGCTTGTGCAAGTGCAGGAACAATGTGAAATACTCACCCCACTGAAGAGCGACGGTATCCACCACCTATATTGAGAACCGAGCAAAGCGCCTGATATTGGGCCGCCTGAAAACATTAGTTCGATAGTGGATACAGACCGGAAAGTAACTACTTACTGAGTAATCCACTAAAAGCTGATCATTCGCGCATTGTCAAGAGTTCCGAGACAGTGTTAGATATTACATACAAATGATGGCAAAACATATGCCCATTCGCGCTCTGCATATGAGGAGGGTCAACATCACCAGAATGCAAATGTGGGGGGAGCCAACCCTAGCTCAGACAAATCGGGCGTGAATTCAGTCACTAATGGGACTATCAGCGCGCTGCCTTGGAAAGTCAGTGCCAGGAATTACACGAGCTGCAGTGTGATACATACAGACACCAGAAAAGTAGCCGTATGCAAGTCCTAACACAACCACACTGGCCACGTCACTCAGAGCTATCATGGACATTATAATGGCACTGCATGCGACAGCGCATGCAATCGTGAAGTTCAACACCCCTGTATACGTTGCAATCATTCCTGCCGTGCAGCGGCCGGTGACACAAGCAGCATTCGTGATCACAAACTAAATCAGGTTAAGAGTCGACGACGGAGGATAAAATATCGAACGTACGGAGTAGAACGAAAAATGTACATCGATCCCATGCTTGATAGAATCCAGCTGTAAGTAGAATATGGGGAAGTAATAGCTGGTCTGACACAGCAGGAACCTAGGCGTAATCAGCTCCAAAGACTTTGAGTTGGTTTATATGGATGCCAAAGAGAACCTACCCAACGGTCATGAGGATGAAGAGAACCTCGCGAGAGCATTTTCGCGCCATTGCGGTATAACTGACACTCGGTACAGGCAGTTCTCTTGTGCGCATGAACAAACAGGCGATCAATAACAGAGCACTGACAAAGCCCGCACTAGCGCGAACCCCTCTTGCAAAGCCAACAGTACCATTCAAAAGGTGATTGAGCATGATCGGATGAATCATGGAACCAAGTGGTGTGCCGGATGTGACGAGAGACATAACCAGCGTGCGTCTTCTGGAGAAGTGCTGAGAGACGATCGCCAAGGAGGGACCATACATTATGCCTATCCCAATCCCAGAAAGGACACCTTGAACCATGAAGATCTAGTCACCACATATAGGTAGCCTTCCTACAGTAGTTACCGTGGCTGCTCACCATGTAAAACTGACCAGGCTTAGCAAAGGATAACGCAAACAAGGACAGTGATTGGAGCAACGACCCCACGATCACCAAATGATAGCTAATGGTAATCAGCGTGATAAACAACCGACTATGAATGTTATGGAAAGTTGAAACTTACAACCACCCTCTGTCGTACAGCGGACCTGAGATCAACGTGACATTGTCTGCGAGGAACGAGACCAGTGCACCAATCCATCTGACACTGACTGAGACCAAAATTTGCAGAGCAAAAGCATATTCACTTACGATATTGTAGATGGTGGATAGTTGGTCAGATAAATTCGTGTGTAATAATCTTACGAGGTCGTGTATCACCTTTAGATATATATAATCGTGCGACTGCTGCATACCTTGATAAACTCCAAAAGACGATATATATCTGCTCAAGTGCTATTGACTGATATATCTCGAACGAACGGAGAGAACCAACCCGAAACAACAAAATTGCATGAGGAAACTAGACATCGTCGTGATTTTTAGACACACAACATACGGGTATCATTTGAGACGTGGCTTACCACCCAAAAACAGTCCCCCAGGCCTGAAACCCGCCATCCGGAGGGCCTGATTGTGAACAAGCTGTTTGGGAATTAGATGACGGTATAGGTCCTAGCTCTTCCGGATCATTTAATTTCTTGTTCGTTGTGAACGTATTGTGGGTTGCGGACTTCATTGACATGGAAGCAAAAGGGAGTTAAGACGCTATGCACCAGCAAATGTTGGGCTTACGGATTATAAGACCAATGTTGGATCGCCTCTGAGTCTCACACTAAGTGGCACCCTGAGCCAGGACCCCAGACACTACCATCAGAGGAATCGTGAACCGAAGATATTGTCATATATAGGAAAGGTTTTCTTTATAAAGTCATATCAAGCCATGTATAACTAGGCAAGTGCATAGGTAAACCCCCGGGTATTTGAGCACATACCCAGACCCAGACCCAGCAATATACCTGCACAAAGGGTATGGGTTTGATACTAGTAGCAGGTAGAAGAGATAGACACCCTGGGTACTACTTGTCAAGGGTATACCCATGGGTTTCACATTAAAACACCTAGGACAGTACAAAAAAAAATTACAGTAACCTTCTAGTCTAGTTCAATAGCATCCCAGCCATCTGTCATTGCAACATCATCACCTTCATCAGTAAACTACAACTTTTCCCACAGGAAGTACAAAATTTGTGTTCCTGTCCAGCCAGCCACAGACTCCACAGTTCTGCCAACATCCCAGTGCACTCAAACCACAAGGTCTCCAGCTGCTCACAGTTCTATATGGCCTGCAGGACTTTGCACATTTCAATTTACTAGTATTATATCCTAGTGTTAAGAACCATGTTGCTCAAGGGAGAGAGAGACTGACTCAGAGGGGCTTGGCCTCAGCTCGTACGCTGTGCCCCTTACCCGAGTATGTGCCCTTCATTTTGTATGAGGTCTGATGATGGTCTGAGGAAGTCCAGAGGACTTCCAGAGGCTGGCTACTCTGCTGGAGAGTGCTAGAGGACTTCCGGAGGAGTGCAGGAAACGTCCGGAGGAGCACAGGAGAGTTCCGGAGGAACGCAGGAAGTGCTCAGGAGAGTTCCCACTGCAAGGTAATACTTCTACAGGAAACAGGATGGAGGGATAGGAGGTCCGAAGGTCTGGAGGACTGGAGGACTGGAGGACAAGAGGACAGGAGGACAGGAGGACAGGAGGACAAGAGGACAGGAGGACAGGAGGACAGGAGGACAGGAGGACAGGAGGGCAGGAGGACAGGAGGACAGTATGTCTGAAGGTACAGAGGGCAGGGTGTCCAAAGGACAGGAGGATAGGATGTCCAAGGGTTAGGAGGACAGAATGTCCGAAGGAACAGGAGGTCCGGAGGTCCAGAAGGAATAGGGGCTACATCGGACGAAGTCCGATATAGAAACAAACAGAGGTAGACTACCCTAAGGTAGAGTCAGAGAGACAGGGATTGGACCTAAGTCCGGAAAGAGGGAAAGTACCAGAAAGGCAGAGCTCCGGCCTAGGGAATCAATTCCTAGGCCTGATGGGTAGGACAGACTTAGGTGGACCAAAGTCCGAGAGAGGATTGGGCAAGTCTAAGTTGATATTCAAACTAGGGAACTACAGGAGTATCTACAGGGGTTATATACTGAACAATATCTGAGGGGATCAGTAAGCAAAGGAGCAAGGCTATGTACAAGCATGTGGAAACACATTAGTAAGTAAGATGGAACATAAGTAAATGAACTCGGAGATGAAGACTCATACAAGGATCAATAAGCAAGACAGAAGAAGAGGTAACCGAAAGCTGGAAAGGTAGAGATGCCTAAATGGGGATAGGTGCAGGATCTCGGACAGAGGGTGGGAATAGGTCCAGCATTAATATCCGGAGGTCCGGAGATCTGGGGATCCGGAAGACAAGGTGGATACAGGACCAGAATACAAGAAGGTGGATATAGTCTGGAATCCGAGATGAGGTGAAGTCTGGATGTCTTGCTGGATGGAGTGTGCATAGGGTGGACAGGATAGGGTTGTATGGATCAGGCTAGCAGTGAGGATCCGGAGGTCCAGAGCTCAGGGGTAAATCAGGAGTGTAGTCAATCCTGCTGAGGTGTGGAGCACAGTGGGAGGGGATCTGGGAATGAGCTGGATATGAAGTGGGGTCCGGATATAGGCTTGGAAGGCGTGGGAATATGATGGAACATGGGTCCGGATTGTGGGATATGACACCTAGTAGTAGTACTTTGAGTCCTAGTGCTGCTGTGGTCAGGTTCGGTCAGGGTTGAGCAAGAACCAATAACTGGACCTAGGTCCAGTTCTACCAGACTTGATGAACCCTGAACTGGACCTTTGCAAATGGTTCAGAATGGTCAGGTCTGGTCATTTTCAGGTTCAAATGTGAACCAAACCCAAAAAACTTTACAGCAAGTGAAAAAAAAACATAGGCAGGGCTTGTACTCATAGCTATGCATCTGCCAACACAGCTGCTTCCACCTCAACCATCGCAGAAATATGACCATTCCTATATGCCACCTTTAGTAATTGTAGTGAGCTGAACGTCAATGCTGCAAGTCCATTGTGTCACACATAGTGATGTGCACGGCCTGGC